GACACCCCCCACACCTTCCCCAGTCCAGCTCCCTGCAGAGCTGACAGTGCCTGGGCTGCACACCAGCACCATCCCACCCCAAACCTGTCGCAGGGCTCTCCCAGCTGCCTGCCCCCAGGCAGCAGCACTGGAGATTAAGAGGTTCACAATGGAGCTACAACCCCAGAAAAAATCCCGTTAGCGCAGGACGCGCACGCTCAGCGGCACCAGCACAGCTATCCCCCCCCATCACCCGTGGCACGGGGACAGCATCCCCTCCCAGCCATGCCTGGAGGGGACCCACGACCTCCTGATGTCCTCTCCGACCTCCTGATGTCCTCTCCGTGGTCTCCTGCACCAGGGCAGGGTGACCCTGAGGACAGCAGGGACAGGATGGCACCAGGCAGGGCCCCACTGAAGATAACAGTGACTCATCAGCATCCAGACCCTGCTCGACCCCAACTGCTTCCCAGGGCCAAAGCCCAGTCAGAGTGTCTCAGCAGCAGCCTTCCACCCAGCTCATCCCCATACTCTTCCCAAAAGCCTCTCCCCAAGGCACTGCCCATCCTCCAAAAATTGCCATCCTCCTCAAAGCCAGTGCTTGTCCCACCTGGAAGATGCCAGTGGGACACAGCAGCTCCCACAGCCTCAGCCCCATGGTTAACGAGCTGCTGACAGCAACACAGCTCATCAAGCCCTACATACTAACACACTGGTGGCCACACATCATCAGCTGAAGGCATCAAAGCTACAACTGGAAAATTTGAGGCTATTAAAGATGCAAAACCTTTTCCAAGAGCATCTCTAACACACAATTGCTGGAGACTGTCCCAAGTGCACTCCCCCAGCAGGGTCAGGGAGCTTCTCCCATCCCTGTCCTCAACCACTGTCACACAGCTGACACATTCCATCCCAATGAAAAGTCCCATGGCTGCACCGACCACCCAAAGGGCTGGGAAGGGATTTGCTAATGTCACTGACAGCCTCAGGATAACAGCCCCATGGGCCCCTCCAAATTTGCTCTTCTCCTCCAGAGACTCCAGCTGAGCAAACAGCTACTGCCAACAACCCTGGTGCCAACCAGGAGGCCACAGCACACAGCCCATCATTAAAGATTTCATTATGTAAATGATGAGAAAAGGGTGTTGCTGTTCTCCAGCACAGTCTCCATGACACTGCAATGTGTGTTGATCCTCCAGACCGACCTGTGTGCCAGCACTGTCTCCAAACATGCAGAAACACGGATGCCAGCACCCCGGAGAGACAACGCGCTCCCAACATCTGCTCCACCTCCTCCAGCAAAAAACTCTCATGACCTACCTGGAAGTGGAGGATGATTGTCCATATGAGCCCCAGGGTGAGCTTGGGGTTGCCATCCGTGATGTCATCGTTGCGAATATTCACCAGTTTCACCTGAAAAAGAAGTAAGAGAGTCAGAGTTTCCCATCAGCCTCACCCAGAGAGCAAGAGGACATCTCCCCCACCATGCAAGTCCCCCAAGCACTCCAGTGGGGAGTGAGCAGACAAAACCCTAGTGCTTCCCAAAGAGGCAATGAGGCCACTCTGCCTCCTGGCTTGGGAAGGATTTTTCCATGTTTCCAGCACTCTCCATCCAGAAGTGCTTTCCCAGCACTTAATGGCTTTACTTCAGCTCACGGAGCAGTGCCTTGTCCCTAAAGCCCTGAGCATTGGTGCATAATTTAACAGCTACAGACCACAGAGCGTGGGTAAAAGAGGATGACCAAGCTTTATTAACTCCATCCCGGGCTCAAAACCAAGTGCTAATCGATCAGCCCTAACGAAGGCAGAAACACCCTCACTCTTCTCCCCAAGGGGAGTCCCCACTCCCCACCACTCGAGGGACCCCACAATCAGTCTCTAGCAGGAGTGTCTGGGGGAAGACATCCCAGCCAGGCTGCTGCCACCAGGCCATCACACTTCAAAGGAAAAAGCTGCTTCATCCAAGTGGAGAAACAAGTTCCCAAGAGCCCTTGGCAAAATGTCTCTATCAAGGAGCTGGGGAGGAGGAGGAGGAGGTGAGGGGGGTTGGAAGCAGCTCACCCTCCCTGGAGTAGGGAATGTGCTCAAATTTATTCAGTGCCCTCAGGCCAGCAAAGAGAGAGAGAAAAGTCTCTGCTTCAGCATGAACTGGTGCAATTTATCATCATCATCATCTCAGCATATCTGGGAGCATCACAGTGGGGAGACCTGACCCAACAGGCAGAACAGGACACCCAGCCCAGGGCTGTGGGGGTTCCACCTGCAGAGCCAGCAAGTCTTGGGATGCAGCCCATTGCTCCAGGCAGGATCTGCCCAGGTCTCTGTCAGCTGCTGCACAGGCACTGTGGGGCCAGCAGCTCCCCAAAGCCCAGTGGAGGGAGCCTGCCCTCGGAAAACCGAAGGATGCTGCTGCCCAGGAGCAGCACAGGAGGATGATATGTCTGTGCTGACAACCAGGGGGGTAATGCCACACAGAGGCACAAGGCTGTGCCAGCACCGAGGCCAGAGCTGCGTGGGGCTGGGCAGAACCAGCTGCCACATCTGCCCCAAAGCTGGTGGACAGGTACAGATGTGCCACAGCCACTCAATCCCATCACCAGGATCTGTCAGGGAGCCCCAGGAGAGGCTTTTGATGCACAAAAGTGACTGTCAGTGACATTAGCAAATCCATTCCCAGAGTTGGAGTCTGATCCCTCATTTTCATAGCAGTTTCTGTGTGCATGGGTAGTTTTCAGGGGCACAACATCCACGGGGAAAGCTCCCTGACAGCCTTCCTCAACCAGCACGGAGACAGGCACACCCCAGCATGGGCTGATGCTGCTTCTCAACCCCTTCCCAAGCTCCAACCAGGAGAAAGAACCAGAAATCACCCAGCTCTGCTGGATTAGCCTAAATCAGTCCTTACCTGTCGCTGCTTCAGGAAATCCAGGGCAATCTGCACGTTCTGCAGGCGGTGGAAGCGCATCCGCCCCTTCTCACGTGGCTGCAAGAGAGAGGAGACAGCTTCAGATCAGGCTCACAGGGCTGGGCTGGCAGCACTCTGCATGCACAGAGCCCCCCACAGCCCCTGGGAGCTGGCAGCACACTGGTGTGACCCCCTGTGCACCCACACACCCTGCTCCATCTGTTCTGCAGCAAATAAAATCGTTGCTAATGCACAGTCCTGCAGGGAGAAAGCTAAAAGGTCCCGGTGGGGCATGGAGAAGACACCAAGATCTTGACCTGTGTTGAGGGTTTGTGTCCAGGCTCAGAGTCATGTGCTGCTAGCAGCAGGCAGGAGCAACTCAGCCTTCAAAATCTCCAGAGATTCTGTCACCCACCCCATGGATAGACAGAGAAGCTGGGTAAAGGGCTGAGCAAAGAGAGATGGAATTGAGTAGGTACAGTGCAACTTGTCCAGGTGGAAGCAGAGGCAGATCTGCTCCACAGCAGGACACAGATATCTGGGCAGGGACCAGCTGATGGCAGAGGAACCCAGACCTCAGGATTAGCCCCTCCAGACCCAGCTCAACTCCTCCTGCACATGGGCAGGGGTTGCTGATCCAGGGACCATGTCTGAACCCCTCAGGAAATTGAGTAGGTACAGTGCAACTTGTCCAGGTGGAAGCAGAGGCAGATCTGCTCCACAGCAGGACACAGATATCTGGGCAGGGACCAGCTGATGGCAGAGGAACCCAGACCTCAGGATTAGCCCCTCCAGACCCAGCTCAACTCCTCCTGCACATGGGCAGGGGTTGCTGATCCAGGGACCATGTCTGAACCCCTCAGGAAGGGGGAAATTGGGGCTGCTGATGCAGGGACCATGTCTGAACCCCTCAGGAAGGGGGAAATGAGACACCCTGGACTGTGTCTGGTGCTGCTGCAGAAAAATGTTTCCCAGAGGTACCTGTTGGCTGAGCTGTGGCCAGGGGAAGGGGATGAGATGCTGGGTCTACTTTGAATCAGCAAGAGAGGATGGATCAATGCCCAAATCCTGATCCCAGCCTCAATATGAGGAATCAACAGGATGTTCACAGAATCACACAGTGGTTTGGGTTGCAAGGGACCTTAAAAACCATCTAATTCCAATCCCCCTGCCACAGGCAGGGAGACCATGTTCTGAACAGTTAGGACACACCAAGTCCTCCAAGTCACCTTCCTTCTCCAGCCTTAAGGGAAGAGCTGTCCCTACAGAGGAGAACATCTCCAGGGCTGCAGGGGAAGGTTCTATAGCTTCAGCTCCTCCTGCACTGCTCCAAGGAGGTGACACTGCACAAGGGCATCATCACCCAGAGCACAAGGGCTGGAAAAATACACCTTCTCTTACACCCAAGCAAGTTGTGGGGTCTGACCCTTCGGGGTGACCCTGGCCTGAGGCTGTGCTTGCTCCCACCTCCACTCACATGCATGGGGTTGCTGCTCATGCCCCAGAGCCCAGAAGGTGCCTGTGCATGCAGTGCCAGGTGAGCAGCCAGGTGAGTGGCCCCTGAGGGCTGAGCAGTGTGCAGGACCCATCCCTGTCCCTCCCACCCCGTGGTGGGGACACATGCTGTCACGCTGGGTGGGTGGCGTGCCCTGACTGCAGGCTGACACTGCAGTGCACACACAGATAATCCAGCTCACAGGAACAGAGCCCTGGAACGAGGGAGCATCTCCACTCTTACACCTTCTCCTCAGGATGACCACCCGAGGTGGGTTTTACCCCAAACCACGGCTGAAACCGGAGAGGGGAAGGTCAGAGCCCGCGGTGATGCTGCGCTGGACTATCTGCTGGCACTCCCAGGGTCTGCCTGGGATAGGCTGGGGCAGGCTCAACCTACTTCTTCATCATCATCATCTTCCTCCTCACGCTCCTCGCTGCTCGCACGGCACCAGGCTGGTGCTCTCACCAGGCGAAGGCTCCGCTGAGCTGGTGGCTCTACCGGCTAACGATGACGGGAGGGACACGACGGGAGGGTGACACAACAGGGAGACACAGAATGCAAACCAAAATGCAACACCCAGGCAGGAGGAGAAATAAAAGAGCAAGGAACGAAGGCGGTTGGGTCTCTGGCACACCCCAAGCTCCAGCACAGGAATTTCCTCCTGATTTTGGAAGCTGAAGAGCAGGAAGCTGTCTGGATCGTGAGTAGTTTGATCCAATTTTTCAGCCCCCACACGAACTGATTTGGCATCTCTGGAGGGTAACAGAGGGAGGGAGGAGATCTTTGCCCAGATCCTATTTTTGGGGGAAACTTAAAATAATTCCTG